AAGGCACGTGTCAGAGCGGTGCTAGCTTTAAGTTGCTAGACGTGAGGACATTCTGAGGATCTCTCAGACAATCTTGACGCCACCCTCATCTTATCATTTGACTTACAGCTCTGTGGTAAACCTTGCAAGGCTGCTTTTGCTGAGCGAGCTCTCCTGCTTTTTTGAAGTGTAGGAGCTTTTTGAACTCCTTCTTGAGGTACTCAAGCTGGCAAGATGCCGCCAGCTGCTTGCTGGGATGCTTCAAGTTGATTGTCTTCTCTGCGTCCTGGGAGTATCTTGCTACGCGGACCGGGAGATGGACTGCATTGATGGTTGGCCTAGGAACTGCTCGAGAGGGCATCTTGACATCAGGCTTTGCTGAGCAATCTCTCCTTCTTTTTTGAGGTGTAGGAGTTTCTTAAACTCCTGCTTGATGTACTCAAGCTGGCAAGACAGCGCCTGCTGCTTGCTGGGGTGCTTCAAGTTGATTGTCTTCTCTGCATCCTGGAAGTATCTTGCAATGCAGACCGGGAGATGGACCGCTTTGACGGTTGGCTTGGGAACTGCTTGAGAGGGCATCTTGACAACGCAGACCGGGAGATGGACCGCTTTGACGGTTGGCTTGGGAACTGCTCGAGAGGACATCTTGACATTAGGCATGTGCGATGAGATTCACAGTTCGATGTTGTGGTAAGAGTCAAGAGTTGAAGATGCTGAAGTTTTCTCAACAGAACTACTATACATGTGCTGACCCGAGCGCACACACAAGCTCTTTGTTGCGCTCAACGTCCAGCATCAGTTACAGCAGCGCAGACAGACCGGGCTCAGCATGCCTCATCAAGCAAGTATCCATGCGGCCTTGAACATTGCGCACAGCATCCAATCCAAATAAACCTCTTCAAATTGTACCTCACTTCATCAAAGGCCTCAATCAAAAGAGGCCACAGTCGTCTTGAGTGAGTGGGACGTTCAAGAAAGATTTGTCTCGTAAGTCTCGGCAAGGCCAAGATCTGATTGATTAGGTCGTTGAGATTGAGAGCGGTCACTCTATCAGAAAAGTTTATGAGCCCAAACTATACCGCCTGATTGACAAGCTGACACTTGCCTGCATGCTAATCAAACATGCCTAAAGTTACCCGAAATCACGGCGCCAAATGTCCAGGGATCAATCAGACTCCACCGCGTCAATCAATCAGCAGATGATTGATGCGAATCGTTGACGCGGAGACTCAAAGCCGAAGACCCTCGAAATGTAAGTCTATGGAGGAG